AAGCCTTGAAGCAGGACTCAGGCATATTTCAATTGGAGTTCGGTACCTTTATTCCATTGTTTAACGAGGAAATAAGCTTCAGCTTTTTACTGCTTTGACCCAGTATCTATAACCAGTTCAAGGTGATCTGACATATTAACTTGATTTTGAGATGTTTGTGTCAGCTATCAGCAAAGTTAACTGTCCCAAATTTTGCTGAGAAGTGAGGTCAAATTCACCTTTCTTCACTTTTGTCATAGACCTACTTCGGACATTATAATTTTTTAAGTTTACGCCTATAAATCCAACGAAAAGTGCATTTGCTCTAATAAGCTATTCTTTGTCTTCGTTTCGCTCGCTTTTTTACTCTAAGCTCTCCCAGGTAACCATAAAAATTTGACGGAAATAGGGGATAGTTAGCAGTTCCTTTTTTATTTCGAACTTTGTGAATTTACCCCCTAATTATTTCATTTTCTCATGCAGTAAAATATGCAAGGAAAGCTTGAATATACTAAACAAACAAAAGTTTGGCATGTTTGCATTTATGTCGTCAAAAAGTGGAATTTCTAACACATTTTTCTAAATGTATTTCAGATGCGTGTGGTGGTGTTATAAACGCTGCCAACGGGACAGTTCAAACACCTGGTTACCCCAACGAATACCCTTCAAATAAAAACTGCATCTGGAAGATCGTCGCCGCTCCAAAATCAACCATCTTCCTGAACTTCACGCACTTTGATCTTGAGGGCAAGAACGTAAGCTTTGGGTGCTTTTCATTCTAACAAGTTAGTCAAGGCTTGGGCATGAATCAATAAGGTTATTACTATTAGGGCTCACTCCAATCGAATCAGCTGACGACAAAGCTGATGTCAACGCGCAAGCAGGCAGGCAGCGAGCCGTGTTCACGGCAGTCTATCGATTGGCCTACACGCGGCGAACGCAACTGGCAATCCATTACTCAATAATTGAAAACGTAAAGCTGTGACCAGACTAAAACTCTGACAAGCCAGCCGCTGAGTCACAAATCAATCGTGTCACTACTCGCTCCAGAGCAGTATCTCATTGGCCCGATGGACATAGATTTACACGTGTTTGTTGCCCTAAATATGTTGTACCCACTACGCTCAAATACTTCTGCATTTGCCCTCTTCTTGTCGTGTTCTTCCTTGGAGGCTCACACAAGACGTTATTATGCGGTGATATCTATCCCTTTGGCTACCGTTACAACAAACACTTCTTTCTTATAGGAAAAATTTATTGGAAAATGGTTGGTCGGGGGAACATGATTTAAAATTTTTGGCAGCTGACAGTCTGAATGAAATAAGAAAAACGATGAGCGACAAATTTACTGTTCTCAGTGTACCCTACTTCTGCCTTAGATCTAGTAAAGTTTACACTCTAATGGGTTTTCAAACCGTTCAGGATTTGACTGCTATAGTTTTCCAGCTATGGGCTCATACGCTTCGCCTGCTGTTGCTCCGATTATGGAACTGCATTCTTTAGATAAAATTGAAACCATGGTTTTGCATCAGCTAACTACATCAAGGAGCAACAGTTTTTTTATTCTATCTTATTCAAACACAAGATCTTCATGTGCCCCAGTAAGCAACCCTGGACATGCCTACTGTTCCTATTTGATGCCAAATAAGTTAGCATTTTTTAGTCCTGCTGTTGCAATGAAAACTGAACCGAAAGTCATATAAGATATTCGCAGGCAGCTTCCCTCTAGAAACTTAGTCAGATTTGTTAGACAAAATAGAGATGCGAAGCAAAATATGCCAGTTTGCCAGCCTTCGTTTTTTTTTCTAAGTAAAAACCTGTGCACACCTACCCCTTAACCCCTGCTTTCTGAATTTATATGTGCTGTGGAAAAGGGACGTAAAATTTTCGATTGAAAGGAAAATTTCAGCACTCCGTGACTGGGAATTCAGTTGGCGAGGATCTTTTAAATAACTTATTTGTATTTGAATCCATTGTTGTGCGACGCTCAAGATTTACCATTCGCTGGCAAAAAAGGGTTTATTGAAGAAGAATTCAGCTACAACTATGTTGTCCGTGAATTCATCCGCTCTTAAATGGAAGTGAGGACAGCAGTTAAGTTAAATGCTATTCGGAGAAATGGGACAGAGGAATATAGAAGCTGCCGAAGACTATGCAACGCTAATTATTAAATTTACCTGGACACTTTGGCATATATTTGAAAACACTATTGTGATTCATT